TGTGTCCAATAAAAATATTTTACAGAAAATTATATTCATAATAAAAGGAATATTTACTTTTTAAGAACATAATTATACCTAATATTTCTTTGAAACCTTATTTCAAACATAGGTAATTCATTTTTCTCATTTCCTTCTAAGCTTTTAAAAGCTTTTTGATGAAACATTTTTAAATAGAAAAAAATGACAAAGGTCATACAGTCTCAGTTTGAAAAGCTGATTGTGTGCGAATGAGCGAATTTTGAAGGAAAAAGTGGCACTTCCTGTATTTGCCACATTTCAGTATAAGTCAAATTTAATTAGTTATGAAGCAACATCAAAAATTCTTTTGCTACAGTATTAGGCATGAAATATCTTTATGGGATTACTGTAAGCCTAGCTTACATTTAACAGCGTGTCACTCTTAAAAAGTGCTTTAGGAGATACCAATTAGAAAAATTCAGTGGGGTTAACGGAGAAGGACTTCTACTCACAGGAGCAGCTTAAACACACCTTCCTGGAAGACCCTCAGGCCACTTCATAACTTCTCACATAATGTGTGTATGAAGTTAATTTTTACAGGTAAATGCACATCCTTTAAAATATGTAAACGGAACTCCATTCTTTTGCCAAAGACCCCACTTACTTGGGTAGTTAGTTCCTGCCTTAAAAGTAAGCTCAGCACTTCAGAGTTCATTGTTCGGCCAATTAATTTGAAGTCCTCAGCCTCTTTAAAATTGAGCACTGAGCTCTTCACAGTACATTCATATGAGATTTACCTGGTTCTGATTATTTAGCTAATTCAACACATGTGCCCTGGTACACTTTTTGAGCACTATGGTGACCTCCAAGTTCTAACATCCCTCAAGTATTTTTGTAAGTAAGAGGTGAGGTATTTCTAGCTCAATGGAGACTTTCAGGGATTATAATACATTAGAAAAAAATTAATTCTAACAGGGATGGGGAATGTGGGTTACACAAATGCAAGTGAACATTTCTTAGGGCTTTTCTCCTACATTACGACTGATGAGGGGAAATGACAGTCAGTCTTTGCAGACTTTAAATTTACAGCAATAAAGAGATATTTCTTAGAAACACTGTCATTATTAATCATCATCCTAAGAGGTATCCAAAAAGTCATCATGTTCTCACAGAGGATGATCTCATCCCAGCATGTGGAGATGAAAACATCTCAAAGAACAGGATATAAATAATCTTCCTTATGGCGAGTCAACAAGTGTAGCTTGTTCTGAGCTACTGTGACATACATGTGTTTAGATATCTGTGCCTCCAAAGGGGGTAGATGACTCAGTGATTGCCAAGTTTTGCTCGGCCAGAAGAGTTTCAGGTGGGCTCTGGGGGCTTGTAGGGGAGGGAGGGAGAAGGGCAGTGCAGGGGAAGTGATGGGGGAGGCACTTTCCAGGCAGGTTATCCCAGTCCCCCTCCTTCAGTCCCCCAGAACCAGACAAGGACCACTTTGTTTTACAGAGTTTCCGCGCAGGCTTTTATTGGAGAAGATATTTCTTTTATCATTTCACTTATATGTGGAATCTAAAGAACAAAATAAACAAAATAGAAACAGACTCATAGGTACAGAGAACTGACTGACAGCTGACAGGGGAGAAGTGTTGGGGGGCTGGGTGAAAAAGGTGAAGGGATTAAGAAGTACAAACGTGCAGTTACGGAATAGTCACAGAGACGTAAATTATAGCATAGGAAATGCAGTCAATAATATTGTAATAACTATGTATGGGCCAGGTGGGCACTAGAAATACTGGGGATCACTCTGTAAAGTGCAGGACGGACTAACCACTATGCTATACATCTGAAACTGATACAGAATAACACTGAATGTAAACTGTGATTGAAAAATTAAAAAAATAAAAAATAAAAACCTTCATCAGACTTCTACTTCAACATGGCATACTGAACACAGCTATTTATCTCATCTCTCTTTTGAAATCCTACTAAAATAATACTGAAGGAAGAAAAAAGGTATAAGCCCACACAAAGAAATTGGAAGAGAAGACACATAAGAGAGTTTGAAAAAATTTTGGAAGGTAAAATGTAGATGGATGAGAGGTATTTGACAATACCTGACAGGACTATCTAGACCCTCTATTTGCCCTGCTCATCTGTGGCCCTACAGCCCCCAGGATTAGGAAGTTCATCATCTTCAGAGGTTGAATTAGAGGAGCTCTGGACTGGGGCACAGTCAGGCACAGCTGAGGGGCAATAAAGGGCCTTTCTGACACAAGAGAATTAAGTGAAATTCTACATGCTGAACCTTTGATTATTCTTTGCTAAAGTCTACTTTTTTTTTTGGTAGATGATATTGTTTAAAAATCTCAAGAATGTACAGGCAACTTTATCAGAAATAATAGGAGAGTAGAGAAATAACAGGAGTGACGATAACGAAGTGACTGGATATAAGACCACTATACAAAGTTAGTTGCACGCATTTCTGTTCACCAGCAGCAAACGAGAAAGCATTATCAAAGAGAATTTAAGATAAAACCAGAATATCAAATATCTAGAAATAAATATAATAAAAAAATGTACATTGCTCATAGGCATGGAACTTGTTGCAACCACTTTGGAAAAACAGATTGGCCTTATCTTCTAAATGAACATTCACCTATTTTCGTAGTAATTCCATTCCTAGGTCTACACAAAAGAGAAACTCTTGCATACAGAGAGCAAAAGACACGTACAAGCACGTTTATCAGCAGCCTTGTTACAAGAGTGAGCCTTTGGAACAACCCAATGACACCATCAGAAGACTGGCAGAATAAACTGATTATATTCACACAGTGAGATATTACATAGCAGTCAAAATCATGGGCCAGGGAAAAGAAAATGGGACAATTTTAAATTCAGGACAAACAACATAACTTTTCAAGTAATCGTAGTTTACAACATGGTTCAGTATGAATAATATATGACCTGTAAACATTGAATAGTTATTTAACCCCAAATTGTGAAATAACTATGAGGAGAAGAGGGTTTGGAATATATAGATATGTCTGTGAGAGGGCTATAAAAGAGAGTTAAATCCCAAATTTCTACAGTAGGTGGTCAAAAGATGGTTATTTAAAAGTAAATGCTAAGAAGATATGCATTTTACTTAGAGATATGTAAGGTATATACCAGAGGAAACAGCCAAAGAATTAAAAATTTTCTGGCGCATGAGACAAGGATAGAGAGAGATGGGACGAGACGGTTACTTTTATTTCATGCTGTTCCATACCTTGCAGTTTTTATTAATTCCATTTCACTCTCACGGCCGTATGTGTGCATGAGTATGTGTATGTATCCATCTCTATCTCTATCTATCTAACTAACTTTGATTTAAAAAAATAAAAATCTCTCACTTGGACTAGATAGATTCGACATTGCTGAGCAGAGAAATGCAGTTTCTAGAAGAAAACTTTTCGGTGCTTTGGGGAACATTAGAGAGCAGTAGCAGAAACCTATAAGGCTACATGGTCCAATCCCTTCATTTTACGAAAGTGAGGAAACTGAGGCATAATAGAACTAAGTAAATTGTTACAGTCTCAAAATTCGAAGCTCACTGAGATTAATCCTCAGGTCTCCTGGTGCCTAGCCTCTTCCTGCCACACCCCACTGTGGGGAAACAGGCGCTTCTACAGCAAAGGGAAAGGCTGGCCTCCAGTTCTGGAACGGCAGACACATGAAGAGAGCAAGGGAATGAGCTGATGCCTTAACGCTGCATGGCCGAGCTGCGGCTCCTGCCCCGACGGGCCAACTCACCCGCAGTGCCCCCAAATGGGCATGGCACGTGAGCGTGTGTGCTTTCTGACTGTTGCTGATTTAGGCGAATCTCTAAGGATCAGACTGACGTACAAGGTGTACTGAAAGCCAGATAGATATAAATATATATTAAAGTGCCTAATTCCAGGCCTCACATGAAGGCGAGAGTGGAAATCTATTGGTTGAATAAGTGTGTAAGTGCTATCATGTGTCTCCCATACCTGGCCTAACATGGTAAATATACCTAGTATTTATACAGGGAGTAGTTATTCTTAGAGAGCCCAGAGGAAGACACAGCCATTCTGACCAGAAATAGACATTTGGGGAGGCATCAAGGCAATGCTGATGGGTCTTCAGTTATTACCACCGTTATTAAAACAAAGTTCTATGTGTTTAATCACTTGGAATACCTATATTCATAATAGTTAATTTTTGAGACTGTCTATACCCGCAGTAAGCAAAGTGTACACCTATGGACAGGCAGCCCAGGCATTAGCTGGGAGCCTGTTAGAAATGTGGCATCTTGAGCCCCACCCAGGCCTAAGGACTCAGAATCAGCACCAGCATTTTAACAAAATCCCCAGGTGTTTCACATGCATACTAAAGTTTGAGAAGTTCTGGTCAACAGCCTTATTTTCCAGGTAAAATTATAATTTTAATATATTTTAATTGGACTTGGAAGCTATGCAAATAGCTGAAGATATCCTCAAATACCAATAAATGAGCAATGATACCTTGAAATAAATTAAGATAAAGAAAAACCACCCAGAGGACAGGTTCAGCTGTGTAATAAACATCAAATGATCAAAGTGGGAACTGTATTTCTCAGTTACGGAATCCACTGCCATCAAATGGAACAGAGGGGTGATGCTGGATGCTTTGGGACTGCTTAATGGGAAACCTGGTGGTCTGCCACACTTCTCTTAGCATCAGCCAGCTTGCTGTGGGGTGTGCCTTGATTCCCCCATCACAGTACAAAATCAGAACTGTGTCTAGAAAAAATATGAAATATAGAAATCTGACCTCAGGTGGCTGGGCACTTGGGCCAAAAAAACCCCAAAACTAAAACCCAAAAAAACAAACCCAACAAATGGGGAGAGGTCTGTCCAGAATCCAAATAAAGTTGATAGTATTATGAACAAGAAAAATACTCAAGGATTTAAAGGATATCTTTTATTAAACGTGTAGTCAGATGACAAAACCCATTAGGTACACATATCAGAAAATCAATTCAAAAGAGCACTCACCGAGAGGAAAGGCTTGGCTTCCCACTTTTGCTGCAGCTGGTATAAATTCCTGGGCCATCATCAAAGAAGCTCCCGAGTGCCAACTTCTGTCGGATAGATTCTCTCTCATTTTTCTGTGCCTAAAATTTCAGGAAAATAAAAAATGCCGATAAGCGGGCAGATAGATCACAACCATAGGCAGTCTAACTGCTAAATTTCTTAGAACTGTAACATTAGATGAAAAATAAATACATAGGCCACAGAAACGAGCATCTGAATTATTAAGAGCTGGAATTAAACCAGTCTCTCCTGGTTCCACCTCTGTGAGCAATTTCAGCTCTTCAGAGCCCTTTATAATCGTTAGTCTAGGAAATCACCATTGTAGTACTAAACTATTTTCACCAGCATAGAACTAGATTCCCTGGAGCTGTAATCTTTCTTCTTACCTGCTAGATATGACAAAGTAAAGCTGTGGAGGGCAAGCATTTTGTCCTAAATCAAATTGCTTTTATTCCAAATGTGGTCTTTCCCTAGATCCTGTCTTCTCTCTTCCTTGCATCAGCCCTTCAGCCCACTTTCTCTATGGCAAGAACATTAATTCATTCAATCCATGTGCACTGAACCTCTATGAGATGGCAGGTGCCACACTATAACATGGGAACAGAACTCTGGACGGATGGACAGACATAGCCTTTGCTGCCACCATGCTCTCAAGTCTTGATGGGGACCACTGTTTCTGTTCAAGAGTTGTCCTGATCTCACCAGGTTTAGAATATGAGATACCCTAACATACTGTGTGGGAGAGCTGGGGAATTCTAACTGAACCCATCTGTTTCATATTTTGAAGGGAAGTCGGGCCGGTGTGCATAGCAAAGGGTCTGGTAAACGACACTACTGAGATAATTTGGGTATGTTTACAACACTTGGCTTCCCATAAAAGTCCCATAAAAACTCACCATGCTGAACTTTTAAATCCTTTAAACAACAGGAGAGAAGATTAGGAATGATTTCTTTAGTTAAAAATAAAACAACTACGAAAACAAACATCACGAGCTGGAAATCCTGGGGTGAGGATGAGATTCTGGTTTTCTGTTTTGTGGGGTGACGACGCCTGCGAGCAGCATCATTTTATGTTCTGAGCAGGGGGCTGAAGACTATGCTGAGCAAATCAGGTTACAAAACCCAGCTCACAAGACTGTGTGTGGCTACAGAAGGCACAGTGGCCCACTGATGCTTCCAGTAGGAGGTTCTGGAGCCACGTTTGCTGCCACCACACAGGACCCAGGAGTTGCAGTGAAAGGTCTGAGGCATCATCTGAGCATCAGTGTGTCAGAGTGACGGCCTACACAACCTGTTGGGAGGGAGGGCTAAAAATGGCTTCATTTCACCCCTAGTGGAGGGCAGTGCACTACAGGTTAAGGCTGCTCTAACATGGTAGTTACTAGTCACACATGGCTATTTACATTCAATTAAAAATTAATTAAAATAAAAATTTCATTTCCTCCGTCATGCTGGCTACATCTGAAGAGCCCCACAGCCACAGGTGGAGAGCACAGAATAAATACACGACAGAGCAGTACCGCTAAGCCAGTGCTCCCAACTGCCAGCCTCAACAGGCTGCGTCAGAATTTCCCGCAGAGGCTAAAATACACACTCCTCAGCCTTTTGGCTAAGATCGCGTGTAAAACACACATCCCTGGGCTCTAGGACCAGATATATCACTTCAATAGGTTTGAGAAGTTCTAATTCAAGGAAAGCTCATATTTATTCTCTATTTTTCTAATCTTTTTAAATCCTTGAACACTATAGGCATTATTTCAACATTCACACTTAGTGACTACAAATACAAATCTATCATCCATCCATCCATCCATCCATCCATCCATCCATCCATCCATCCATCCATCCCCCCATTTTGGCATATAGTAAGGGAACCACGTCATACTAAAATATACAGTGTGTGTGTGTGATATTATAATTTATAAGAAATATATATGTGGTCTTTGTCCACAGTTCCTGACTCACAGCTCCTGAAACTCTTGCAGTTTCCTAAGTGATGAGAAAGATACAGGTGTATAGTTATGTGAATGAGGTGACTTTTGCAAAGTACCTAAGGATGGGGGCTGGTTGCCAGGAGAACCGACAATGTGACTGGAGTGTTGGAGCTTTCAGTCTCCATGCCCCACCTCCAGGGATGGGGGCTGGAGAGCTTCTGGGCTGGTGAACAGGTGGAGATGTGGGGAGAGTGGGGCACCTAGAGAGGACATTGAAGCTCTGTGCCCCTTCCCACATACCTTGCCCTACGTCTCCCTTCATCCAGCTGTTCCTGAGTCATCTCCTCTCCCAGTAAACTAGTGTTGTAATATGTAACATGTTCCTCTGAATCCTGTGAGCCATTCTAGGAAATTAATTGAACCCAAGGAGGGGGCTGTGGGAACCTTTGATTTATGACCATTCGGTCAACACCTGGACTTGCAATTGGCATTCTGAGTTGGGCTTGCAACTGGCATCTGAAGTGTGTGTGGGGGTGGGGTGGGGGTGGGGTGTCTTGTGGGACTGAACCCATATCCTATAGAATCTGATGCTATCTCCAGGCAGACAGGATGGAATTGAGTTAAATTCTTGGCACCCTGCTGGTGTCCAGAATCACTTGTTGGTGCAGGAGGACTCCCCCACACTGGAATTGCTGGGAACCTTAATTTAGTGTATAATACAGCCACAAAGTGAAAGGCTACTTCTGCATAATTACAGCTGTGATGCTGATTTCATGTGGCTTACTGGGCCCTGAGCCCTGAGAAAGTAACCATGAGGCTGTAGGGGGAAGCCAGAATGCCTTTAATTTCATTAAGCACTTGTGACTGCACTGCTGGGAACCTTACTTAAAGAAGCCTGCTTTCCCAAACATGCAGGATCCTATCACTTGACATCTTTATTTAAAATAAATTCATTTCAAAACCCCAAAATCTGCCTCGCAGACTGAAATCTAGTCAGTGAGCCTATTTCTTAATCCACACAATAGACGATGTCCTCCAGTCAGAAAACTGCTGAATGGAATTGAGTACTCAAATATAAAATGGGCAGGTAACAACAGGGGCATTAATGACTAATGTTCGACGTTAGCCTGGGTTCTGGAAGAGGTTTCATTTAAAGAAGACACCTATCCCAGGTGTGAATGTGTGAACATACCCTTGATTCCATGTCCATCTTTTCTGATCTACTTGGCACACCAGAGCTATAGATGTTGGAGACGGCCTTAAGAAAAATTCTATTTACACAAATTGCAATTTCCTATACTTAAATACCGCATTAACAGCTGGAAGAGGGCTGTTCCGTAACACACAGTCTTCTACCCTTCTCTCTCTCTCTCTCGATCCCACTGAACGAGTCGAGAGGAGTATAAGGGATATAAAGGTCACCCAAGGGCCACCGCTTAGACACACATCACTGCTAACATCCTGGCATATTGCTTTTGAGTTTTCCATCTGATGTGTGTATTTTTTTCTTTTTATAAAACTGAGATCATATTGTTCACTATATTTTGAGAATTCCCCTCATATCACTTAGAATCCTTTAAAAACAATTTTTAAGGGCTGTCTATCATTCTATCCTATGTTATCCAGGTAGGCTGCATCCAATTAAAAGCAACATAAGTTAGCATTTTTACATAAATCCCTGCCCACATGTCTGATTATTTCCTCAGGATAAGTTTCTGGAAGTGGAATTACCAGATCAGCTGGGTGTGAACATTTGCTGAGGCTCCTGACACATTCTGTCACATTGCTCCAGAGAAAGCTGTTCCAATTTACATGCCCACCAGGAACGGAAAAGGGCACAGCTTTCTCTACATCCTGCTAACACTGAGTCTTTTCACTTAAAAAACTGCTGTCACTTTAAATTTGATAGGATTCTTTCAAAAAGTATTCTTTTTGTTTTCTTTACCAGTGAGATTAAATATTTAAATATTTTTAGTTACAGTACTTGCTTTTCTCTGAGTTTACTTACTCCTAGCTTTCCGTATTTTTCTATAAAGGCCTGAGAGTTTTGAAAATTTTACATAAAGGTACTAGCCCTTTTGAGTTTTAAGTCTATTATGAAGTTTAAGTCTATAGCTTGCTCCCTCTGTCCTGTCTTGGATGGCTTTGTACTTGCAACGTCCCGTCCAGTCCAGAGGTAAAGGACCTCATTTGATATTGGAGGAATAAATGAGCGAATTTATGTAAACTCCTTAGCAGCTGTACCTGGCCCATGCTAATGTAAATCTGCCATAAACGGGAGTTACTGTGACCAAGGCCTCATCACAACCACAGATATTTATAACGCAGACACCCTCTCATCAGAGCTGGTCTCCTTGACACCACTGCTCACTCTTCCTTCTGGAACAAATGTGACTCCCCTTTCAAGTAATTATGATTCAACTGACTAGTAAATAGTTTTTCTCTTAAAATTCACCCACTGGAACCTAATTTCCTTTTGGTTGCCCATGTGCTGTGTGTGTGTGGTTCCAAAGTTCATTTGTTCTCTAAGGAATTACACCTGCAAGGAAATTATGTCTTCCAACACCCCCAAAGCCCAAAGATGCCCCAGGGTGAGGGACAGCGAGGTATCGGATATGGGAGAGGCTGGCTCAAAACTACACTGTTTGGCTGTGTTTATGACAAGGGGAGCCCCGTCCACTCCTACAGCGGCCTTGGGAAGTACCCTCGTGAAACACCTGAAATTGGTTATCGCCAGCAAAAGAGCAACTGAGGAACAGTGGCTCATCATTACGAGACAGAGAAGCCATTCAAGACCAAGATGAGAACAAAAATGTGCTTAGAAAGGCAGTTTTTGTCCTCGCCTGTCGCTGAATTCCCTCCTGCCACCCCCTGTGCCTGGGCAGATAAGGCTCACAATGGCTTTCGGGGGCGCCACGTGGGCCACTATCTCAGGACACAGACGTAGAACACTTTCAGACCCCAGCACCAGGCCCAGCCTTCCCCGTGGCATCATTCTCTGCCGCGATTCCCCAAACTTGACAAGAACAATGAGAGGTGTTTGGTAAAGAAATAAAGAGCAAAAGGTTCTGCTCTGGGTAGATATCATCCATTGCCAAATGTAGTGTGTCCCCAAGTCCCTTCCACCCTTTCTTCAGGATGTGCAT